TCCTCCTTCCTTGGCCTCCCAAGGTGCTGGAATTATAGGCGTGAGCCCTCGTGCTTGGCCCAGTATTTAGCTTGACAATTATTCTCTAATCTGCCATCTTTTCCAGTCTTATTACTGTTGCTACTCTGGTTCAGGTTCTCATATCTCTGAAAAGAAAGGGAGGGAACAGACTCTCAATTGTTTTCAATCCTACTTCCTTCAGATCTATCTCTTATGTTGCAGCCGGAATACTCTGCATAAAATACAGATGTCACTCCTATTTAGTGACTTCTTATTACCTCTAGAGGATGCCCCCTATGCTGTCTTTTCTAATCTCATCTTCCACTCTTGCCTGCCTTCTCTTTTACCGTTTTAGTTCAGAAGTCAGCAAACTTTGGCGAGTGAGCCAATCTTGTTTACCGACTATATTTGCACTACAGTGGCAGCGTTGAGTCATTGCAGCAGAGAACATATGGCTTACAAAGCTAAAACGTTTACTCTCTGTCCTTTACAGAAAAAGTTTGCCAACCCTGCTCTAGTCATGTAGAACTTATAATAGCTTCCTTCTTACACTATTTTATTTTATGCCTCTGTACTTTTTATTATGTTGTTTCTTTACCTGACTCTTATTTTTTAAATAACAGCTTTATTAAGCTATAATATAATTACATATCATACAGTTCACCAATTTAAAGCATGCAGTTCATTGGTTTTTAGTACGCTTACAGTTGTGCAGCCATCACTGTAATCAGTTTTAGAGCATTTTCATTGCTCTCCCAAAAAACCCCATGCCCGTGAGCATTCACTTCTTGTGCCCTAACCTCCTCTTCTAGCACTAGACAATCACCACATCTACTTTTCAGTCTCTTAGGTTTGCCCATTCTTGATATTTGGTGTAAATGGAATAATATGTGGGCTTTTGTGACTGGCTTCTTTCACTTAGCTTAATGTTTTTAGGGTTCATGCATGTTGTAGCATTGATCAGTATTTCATTCTTTTATTAATTGCTGATTAATGTTCTGTTATATGGACATATCATATTTTATGTATCCATTCATCAGTTGATAGATATTTGGGTTGTTTCTACTTTTTGGCTGTTATGAATAATGCTGCTAAGAGCATTTGTGTACTAGATTTTGTGTCATATGTTTTCACTTCTTTGGGTTGCTGACACTTCCTTATCCATTAAAAATTGACTTTGGGGTCATTTCCTCTATAACTTTTCCCTAGCCTCCTAGGCTGGATTGAATGTCTTTTCTGTCAGGCTCTGATGATGCTCTTGTATTACTACATAATATTGAAATGACCTGTTAGTATGTCTCTCTGCTCTACTCTTCTGTAAGTTTCTGGAGAGCAGCGTCAGTGCCATAATTCAACTTATTCTTAACTTCAGACATTAGAAAAGTTCACTTCATGTTTGTTGAATTAGAAAAACTGTAAAGCAATCTATGCTTTTGAATTAAAATATAATTCATCCTTTTTTTCTCTCATGTTCATTGGCTTTTTTAAAAAAAGTCTCTTAGAATGTATATTGACCTAACTCAACTTTATTTTCTTTTAAGGTCTGCAAAGAAAACAAAAAATGTTGCTAAAGAAAAAACACCAGATGAGAAAAAAGATGAAATAGAAAAAATAAAAGCATATCCCTATATGGAAGGCGAACCTGAGGATGATGTCTATTTAAAACGGTTATACCCGAGGCAGATATATGATGTGGAGAAAGCTGTTCACTTACTTAAGAAATTTCAAGTTCTTGACTTTACTGGTCCAAAGCAAAGTGTTTATCTTGATTTGACACTGGATATGACACAGGGAAGGAAGGTATGTAGAGTCTATGAAAATAAGTTTACTTGTGAACAGTGGCTCTATGAATTGGTGTTTCTTTATTTTATTTTATTTTATCTTATTTTATTTTATTGTTATTATTATTTTTGAGACAGTGTCTTGCTGTGTTGCCCAGGCTGGAGTGTGGTGGTATGATCTCAGCTTACTGCAGACTCCACCTCCTGGGCTCAGGTGATCCTGCCACCTCAGCTTCCTGAGTAGCTGGGACTACAGGTGTGTTCTACCATGCCCAGCTAATTTTTGTACTTTTAGTAGAGATGAGATTTCCCCATTTTGCCCAAGCTGGTTTTGAACTCTTGGGCTCAAGCACTCTGCCCTCCTTGGCTTCCCAAAGTGCTGGGATTACATGCATGAGCTACTGTGCCTGGCCTCTTAATTTTAAAAATTACTGCCTCTCATAATTTTTCGAAAACTTCATGCTCTTTCTGTACTTTAGCATGAAAAATATGTTTGTTCATTTAAAAATTTTCCAAATATAAAATTTGTTGAAAACACTCTACAGAGTTAACATAGATTTCCTATTTCCCCTAAGAGTCACTAGTATAAATTTCAACAAAAGTAGTGTTAAAATTAATTGAGGTATCACTGTAACTTTGAAAAGTGACTTAAACTGTCTAGGTGACATGTTTCTTCTCTGTAAATGAGGGCTCTGAATTAGCTCAGTGTCCTTCAGATGTGTTCCTTGGGGTCCTGGTTTGAGACTTAAGTTTTCATAGGTGGGATTCCAAGCTCCTCACTCTTGCTTCAACCGAAGCTTCTCTGCTTTATTTGTTTATATACTGAAATTCAACAGAGTACTATTGATTATAAAACTCTAAATTAGAAGCAGGAAAGACATTAGCTTAATATTAAGATCTATTATATAGCCCTAAATCCCTAAATTTTATAAGCTTCTTGCTTAAGAGTTCTAATTTTTTTAGAAATGATTTTAATTTTTATTCTAAAGTTGTCTCTTTTTTTGACAAACTAGAATGTGTAAGTTTTTAAATGTAATTTAACAAGCTCAACAACAGCAATGCTAGAGCACCTAGGAGGAGGCAATACAACGCAGTCTTCAGAGCACAGGCTCTGGAGTCCGCCTGCAGTACAGACCGGAAACCTGCTTCATTGCTTTTTGAGTTTGGGTTTCTTTACTTCATGACTTTGGGTTTAATGCTTAACCTCTTCAAATCTCAGTTTTTTCATCTCTTTCTAAAAGGGAATAAAAGGTCAAGGATTAAACGAGATAATACCTGTAAAGGACTTAGTATGTGCTTAATAATAATAGTCAACTTTTACTGAAAAATTTTCTGTATACCAGATACAATGCTAAATGTTTTGCATGTGTTTTCTCATTTAATTCTATAATAATCTTGTAAGAGGAAGTTGAGGCATAGAAAGTGAAATAACTTGCCAAAGGTCATAAAATAGGGGGCAAAGGTAAGATTTGAAGCAAGGCCTGTCTCATTTCTTTGTTCTCATTTATTAGAAACAGTTTATAATAGCCATGTTACAATTTTTTATTTTGTATCAGAGTGTTACTGTTCTTTTATTTTGAAAATTTTGTACTGTTCAAGATGATCACTTTCTCAGTCAACCATTAGTGTAATTCAAAATGATGTTTTGTAGCACCACAGGCTTCATTTCATACATGGAAGCTGCTTGTAAGCTAGTGACATTGAAAAGATACTATTGCCTTCCTAAGGCTTTTTTTTTTTTTTTTTTTGTTCTTCATAGAGTGCTTATACAACAAGCCAGTATTCCACAGGGGATGCTATTATTGCGACTGCTTACCATTGAGAAATTTGCTGAAACCAGTTGTGACATGTTAATGGCAAAGGAATGCCAGTCCGTAAAACTAAGCTGTATGACTGATATAAAGTATACTTAAGAATTTGTCCCTCCAGGCCATTGCAGTGGCTCACACCTGTAATCCTAGCACTTTGAAAGGCTGAGGCGGGCAGATCATCAGGTCAGGAGATCGAGACCATCCTGCCTAACACAGTGAAACCCCATCTCTACTAAAAATACAAAAAAAAAAATTAGCCAGGCATGGTGGCGGGTGCCTATAGTCCCAGCTACTCGGGAGGCTGAGCCAGGAGAATGGCGTGAACCTGGGAGGCGGAGCTTGCAGTGAGCTGAGATCACGCCTCTGCACTCCAGCCTAGGCGACAGAGCAAGACTCCGACTCAAAAAAAAAAAGAAAGAAAGAGTTTGTTCCTCCTTGTCTGCAAAGAAATCCCCAGGAGGATGTTTCTACTCAAAATAAGGTTTTTCTAAAAATATTGATCTTTCAATCAGTTTTATTACGGGAACAACCACCTTTTCTTCCAAACCTTAAGGCTGCAACAAAACTTTGGAGGGCCTAGAACTTGTTTCTCTGTAAAGTCTCCCTAAGAGATCTAGGCCTCAGGCCTCTATAGTTTCTGGTCAAAATGACTGGACAGATTAGTTTAGAGGTCCTGTAAAATCTCCACCTATATTAGCGTGCCTCAAATGCATGCCATTGTTTATTTAGGATTTTCCAATTGACTTTCTAAATAAATCTGAAAGTGGTGATGGTCTAGGTTGTTTCAAAAATAGAGTCAACTCAGAAGATCCCTTTAGGCTTGACATTTTGTCTTGGGTTTAGGGTTTACAATTCCTGATAGTTTCAAGCCAGTGATGGCAATTGGGGGTGACCTACTGGGCAGATCAGCTGGATATTGTCTATTGTTCAGCATGTATAGCTGTATTCATGTCTCCCTGATGGTGTCAGAAGATTACATGGGTTTAAAACAAATTTAATTGAAGGTAGCAAACATTTATTATTCATCAGATGGAAAGCATTGTACTAGTGCTGGGGAAGATGTTATGCAAACACATTTCATAATATTTGAGAGACTGTGATGAATGATGTAGAGATAGAAGCCAAGTGGCGTGGGATTATGAGGCTGAAAAAAGATTTTAGTTTTTTATTCTCAAAAAAATATAATCTTGAAAAAGTTTCTTGAAAAAGAAATATAATCTCTTGTGCTTTAAATTGTAATCGATGAATAGTAATTCATGAATAGTAATCAATGAATAGTTCTGAATTAATGGAAGAACATAGAGTAGAATCAGAACACTGAAAACAAAACATGTCCGTTCTTGTTTTATATAGAGTATGTGAGAGACAGAAAAGATTAACTTTGCATAATTATTTTTCCTTGTTGCGTGTTTAGAAAAACGTGGCACCATTTACCAGTGTTCTTAGTTTGCCATACCCATTTGCTTCGGAAATCAATAAAGTTGCTGTATTTACAGAGGTAAGTAACTTCCATCAACTATTTATATCATTTAATTTTTTTTAGAGATCACTTAATTATTATTATTTAGAGATCACTTAATTATTAACCAATGATTAGCACCCTGAATAAATGGAGTTAGAGAAAATCCTAACATTCACCTAGTCCTGTTTTCCCCTTTTGGAGCTCAAAACAGTTAGATGATTTGTTTGAGGTTATGTTATTAGCTTGAGAAAGAGCTAGATTAGAACATTAGTTTCATCATTACCAGAATGCTACATTATGTTTCTTACAAGAAACTGAAGAAAAGAGTGGAATTTATCAATTTATCCTACTAACTCCTGCTTTGTGTTCAAACTTCCCTCCCCAAATAACAATAAGATGATTTTATTTTATTTTATTTTATTTTATTATTTTTTTTTTTTTTCAGAGACAGAGTCTCGCTCTGTCGCCCAGGTTGGAGTGCAGTGGCCAGATCTCAGCTCACTGCAAGCTCCGCCTCCCGGGTTTACGCCATTCTCCTGCCTC